TTGGTTCGGTCACAGAGGTATGATATGTGTTTGTTGAGGAAGTCGCTGAAAATTTCAAAAAGAGATTTGAGAAAGAAAGAAAAACGTGAGTGGTGTTTTTGTTTTAATTAGGTATTCAAGGCTGTGATACCATATAAGTTTAAGTCTTGAATAAAATCATTAAGTTAATGATGTACAATATTTGTAGGAGTAAAACTAGTAAATACCTGGATTCAATGTCTGTTCAAGTTTTTGACCCAAAAAAAAAAAAGTCTGTTCAAGTTCTTCTCATCTTCCAAAACCGCGATGATAATTGAATGAGATCTATAGGTTCAACGGTCCATTTAATGTATCTACGAAGCACGGAAAAGACTGACAAAGCTACCGTAGACTTTACCCTAAACATGGGGGTTCAAAGGAATATATCATGCTTCACTTCTACAATCGAGTTCTACCAAGCTAAAGTTTGAAATAGCCTTAAAAATTAAGTAAATAATACTTTTAGATGTTTTAAATTAGTTATGGCTTGTTCTTAAACAACTAAGACCACATGAATAATATGTTTTAATTTTTTCAAAGAAATCATTAAAGTAAAAGAAAAAGATAAAATGTCCTTAGGTAACATTGTGAGAGCGTTTTATTATCATAACAAACATTTTTATTGGTTGCCACATAGATTGAGACAACTGTTCTTACATAGAGCTGACAAAGTCAACGATTTCAATCACATCATGGAGCAAAGAGTTGGAGTTGACCACCCTACAATTCTGCCTAATCTGTCCTTGAGTTCCGGTGAGAGGAGTAATGTTTCCCATCCTATTCATCGCCTCGATAAACGCATTGAAGAACTTTTGTGTCCCGTCGGCGTATTCTCTCACCAAGGGGATTGTGTCAGTGGCATTAGGGCTCGAGAATAGCTCTTGATCGGTTTGGATAAGTCCTTTGTGGTCTTTCAGATTCACATAATATTTGTTGTCAAAAACCGTTGGTGTACGTAGATCGAAATCCACCAAGACGCTCAGGTTACCATTTTGAGGACAAAGTCCACGAAGCGTTTGGAGGTAAGTAGTGTTGAGGGTAGGATCGGGTAAACCAGTGTTGCTAAAGTTGTATAGCCTGTCCATAATAAACCGGCACTGGTTTTTACCAAAGGTGTGACCACCTAACAAAAAAGAGGCAGTAAAATATACAATAAATTCGTTAGTGTTATTACAATAATTGTGTGCTTTTTTATATTATTTCTGAAAAAAAACATAATTACCGGAGAGAGCAACGAGATCAGAAGGACGATTAAGACCGACATTGCTGAAACTGGCTTTAAGTTGTGGAAGCGTGAAGAATGGAGCGGGAAGATTTGCATTAGCGAGATCGAAAAATGCTTGCAAGCTATCTCGTCTCCCCAAAGGAACCCTCCACGAAGGACCTCCAGCCTAAAATACACATATTTCAAAATAATTATTTGTTGAAAAAAGTAATGTTGACGATATAAAGTTTCGATGTTCAAAAAGAAAAACATCTAAGAAAATTTCACAATTAGTTAGCTAGTTGTAAAAGTGAATAAATTGTCTTATCGGTTTATCGTCGTAAGAGATTTGATATTTAATATCTGTAAATTTTATTCCCCGGTTTGGATGTCTAAACCGTTTTAATGAATTTGCTGATTTGATATTTAATATCTATATAAGTCACACGCGTTTTGAATATTTTCTCAACTAATCTTCAATAAATGTCCCATTTTTAGATAGATAAATTGTCATGTTTTCAAACAACTTGCAGGATTTACGTTTTTTTCTTCAATCTTATCATGATGTCATAAATGTTAAGAAAAAAGAAGGTTGTATCAATAAAGAGCATACCAGATTGACAGACTGTTGAGCTGCGATGGTAAGAATATCTGCACATGAAACAGTCCTCGCGCATGCAATCTCCACTGCTGTTTTCATTCTATCAATCACTGGAAATCCACGAGCCGAGTTCGCATTTGGAGCCGCGTCTTTTTCTGTTCGGAATGATGTTGTGTTGTCTAACAGGATCGATGCATCACAACCCTTTGACAAGCCAAAATAATTGTCCACAAATTAGTCAATAATTTACAACCATGACCAAAATTTTGTCACCCGTAAGCGATTGCGTTTTTCATCCACTGAAACCATTTCTTCAAACAAGATACGATACTATACATGCATCCATAATAGTCACAAATTAGTGTGAAATTTATTTTACAATATATAGATCTGTTAAACCAAATTCACACTATTATTTTTTGTTCTTCTTTTTTTGGGGTGTAATTTCTGGGTTATATCCTATAATGTTTTAAGTAACATCAAGCGTTAAAACAATTGTGCTAAAACCAACACCTGATTCGAGGATTGAAAATTTTCTTCGAGATAATTAAAATTTTGTGTAATGCGGTTTCCGGGTTCACGGTATGTATGAGATTTCGAATGATTTCTAAAATTTATTTTTATCCATCAGTAATTGATTGATACAAATTCAGAACGTGTTCGGTACGGGTCAATGCTCTTCCTAAATAATCTAATACAAATAATTAATGTTTGCTGCATTGGAGATCTGTTGTTTTGATATATGTTTTGGAATCATATATATGTCTATACAACATTAAATAATAAGTTATTGTTGACGACAAGAGCTAAGATATTCGACGGTAAAAACCAAATCAAAGTATGTGATTGATATTTTGTATTGATACTTTTTTCTGGATCAGATCCGTTAGGCCACTAACTATTATTTGGGTAACGTGTCAAACACACGCAAGAGTTTC